TTATCAGCTAGTTTCATCACTCTTTCTTTCTATGGAAGGTTTCCTGACCTTTTATTTTTGTCACTTGGTTGAGTCATTTTGTCCTGGTTCTTGTACAATTTGTTATTGCCTGTTTTCTCTGAGTTATTAAGGTGTTATTTTATTTATTGGTTGTATGTTTGATTGCTTCACCTGATTTTTTGTTTTGTTTTGCTTTGATTTGTCTGAGAAGACGGGACATGTATGCTGCTCTGGTTACCTGTTATGGTACTCACCACCTACTTTTAAATGGGTGGGTAGCAGCTCAAATGTGAGTGTGTATCACTGTTCATATGGAGCACCTAAGGGTAGGCTAAGTGGGTGTTGGCTGCTGTTTATTTTTGCTGTATGTTGATACAATAGCATTCACCAATTGATTCAGGAGCCAGTATGGTGGGTGTAACGGGCAAGTGTGGGAATCACTCACCACCACTCTTTGGGTGGGTGGGGTAGAGGGTGGTGGGGAGGATGGTGGTGGGCAAGTGTGCCAGTTAGTGGTTGCATTACTTGTTGGATCAGAGAAGTTCAGGTACATGTTGCCATTGTACAGCTGCCGCCACTCACCAGGTGCAGGGAAGGGAGTGGGTGAGCACATCCTTACATGATTTCAAGGAAACAGTGTGGCAGTGGATCAAAGTACAAACTGCTAATCTTTGTAGCTGTGAGTGTGTGAACCACAATCTGCGGAGTGCATACCCCCAAATGTGAGGGGAACTGGGCAAAGGTGGGCACAAGTAATGTGCAACTCATAGGCCATGGGAGTGTGTGCTTCTGGTTGCTGGGGCATTGTGGTAAGCATGAACATGTGGAGGTAGTTGGCATGTGGTGTGCAGTCTGGGAGTGCGTATTTCCAGCCACCAGGGGAGCAAGACAGCAGTGTACATGTAGTGTCAATTGTTTAGGTGGTGGCACAACTTGTGATCCATGATATTGTGCACTTCTGGTTCTTGGAGTGATGGAGTGCTATGAGATAGGGTAATGGTTGTGTGGGGGCAATGCTGACCAACTGTCTAATGATGCAGGTACTCACTGCATCACTGGACAAGAGAGTGGTGAAAGGGGGTGTCACACCAGTTGCCAGGTATGTGTACGGAGTTACACCTGTGATCACTGGGAGGGTGGGATGGGTGGGAGACTGTACTCTTCTGATCCTCTGATCACTGTGGCATTGGTGTACTCAGCTCTCAGGTTCCTGCTCCAACCCAATGCTCTGGATAGGAGTATGGGGATACTGTCCAGAGTCTAGTATCTCTACCTATCAATCCACAGACTTCCTTCCCTTCATGTAGGTTTTTAATATAAATGACCACAGATCACTGCTGGTGAGTAGTTCTATCCCTGTTTTCTACTCCCTCCCTTTTCTATGGTCGCCTGAGTCCCTGGCGCTCTCTCCTGCCTTCTTACACATTCCATCTTTAAATCTGGTTTGTGTTCTGCTCACTTTGCTTCACTCTAGTTTTGTCTACATTGTGTCTTATTATAGCTTCCCTGAAGTTGTCTTCTTGTACTTCTCAACCAGGATTGCTGTTTGCTTTGTCTCAAGATTGCCACACTGTTTTCTGGACAGGGTATCTCCACTACATAACTTTCTTCATTTTCTGTTTTCATTGTTGCTACTTCATATTGGTGCATGATCTAATTTTTTTATCTTTTCATTTGATGCTCAGGATTTCATGATTACCATTTGCATCTGTTTCACATGGTTTCTCAAGTCTTTGTTGTAGAGGGACAGTGTGGTGTGTCTGATTAGGTTGTTATCTTAAGACCACCTCCTATATAATAATACAATTTTTGCTTCAACCATCAAATATATTTTAGACAACTCAAGAGGAGAAGGAAAGCCATATTTTTACTCTTCTACTGTCTTTCCTTCCTAGTATTCAGTGTTTCCTCCTTGTATCATTTACTTTATATTTAGAGAGCTTCCTTAAGCCATTCTTTTGGGATATGCATGCTAGCAACAAATTCTGTTAATTTTCCTTTCTGTGACAATGTCTTTATTTCCCTTTCATTTCTGAAGGATATTTTTGCTGGGTACAGACTTCTGATTTGATAGTTCCTTTCTTTCAGTATTTGAAAAAGGTTATGTCACTTCCTTTCTGACCTCCATGGTTTTTGATGAGGTTTATGTTGTCATTGGACTTGTTTTTCCCCTATAAACAATGCTCTGTTTTTCCATTGCTTTAAAGTTTTTTTAGAAGTTTGGCTAATATGTTTTGTCATGGATTTCTTTGTGTTATTGCTTTTTGGAATTCACTCAGCTTCTTCAATTGTGTAGGTTTATGGGGAATTTTATTGGTCATATTTAGGAAATTTTCAGCTATTATTCCTTTGAAAGGAATCCTGGTGTGGCGCTATAGGATAAGTACTGGAATTCTAACTGCAGGGTCAGCAGTTCAAATGCACCAGCCACTCTTTAGAAACCCTATATAGAATCGGAGTCAGAACCAACTGGATGGCAGTTAACAACAACAACATTCCTTTGAAAATATCTGTAAGGTAAGCACTGGATGGCTAACCACAAGGTCAGTGGTTCAAGCCTGCCAACTGCTCCATGAGAGAAAGATGAGACTTTTTGCTCCCACAAAGAGTTACAGCTTTGCAAACCGTATGCAAGATTGCTATGAATCCAAACTGACTCGATAGCATTTAGCAACAACAACTCCATTCCTTTGAATAATTTTCCAGTCCTGTTTCCTTCTAGGTCTCTGTTTCTATGAATGGTATGTATTTTGTTATAGCCCTCTAGGTCCCTAAGTTTATTTTTCATGTAGTCTCTCTTTTGTTCAGAATGAGTAATTTTTATTGTTCAGTTTTCAATTTCTCTGATTCTTTCCTCTATTGTCTCCATTCTTCCATTAACTCCATCCATTATATATTTTATTTTGCATATTTTATTTTTCTCTAGATTTATAACCATTTTATCTAGTACTATAATCCATTCTTTTCCCATTGAATTGAACTGTCATCATTGCTATTTATTGATTTAGCATGTATATTGGGATCTAATACTATATTTTCTATTCTGTTGCACAGGTCAGTATGTCTATTCATATGCATATAAACATAATATTGATTTGATTATATTGGTTTTATAGAATATGTAGTGAGGCAAGTCAGTCCCCTCTCCCTCCTTGCCACCATACACCATTCATTTGCTTTTCTATTTTATAGTTTTCTATTCCAATACATTTATTTGCACATCTTTTAATCCTTTGCCAGTTCTAGCATAATTCTTTTTCCATTGTGAGCACACAACTGCTTGCAGTCTACTTAGTTACTGAAACAATAAATGTCTACTATTTGCCCTGAAATTGGTTTCTGTGCTATAGACAAAAAGATCAATAGACCATTTTAGTGTAATATTCTAATAGCCTAACTCAACTGCTGTTGAGTCAATTCTGATTCATAGTGACCTCATGTAGGGTTTCCAAGGAGAGGTTGGTAGATTTGAATCACCAGACTTGTGGTTAGTAGCCCAATGCTTATCCTACTGCACCAAGTGAGAACAATAGAGGTGTTGTTGTTAAGTGCTGTCGAGTCAGTTCTGACTCATAGTCACCCTGTATACGTTTTCTTCTGAGTGACTAGAGGGTTTGAACCACTAATCTTGTGGTTAATAGTCCAGTGCTTATCCTACGGTTCCACATGAGGTCAATAGAGCTATCCACCAGAAAGTATGGAAGCACAGATGTGAGAACTTAGTGTAGCTAGGGGGTTTGTGAAAATCTTGGCAGAATAGTGATGTCTGAAGGGTGAGTAGAGACTGACTAAGGCATTTCTGACTTAGAGAAAGACATGAGTGAAACGAGGCTATGTGAAGTAGTTTATGGGTACTAAAGCCTAAAGAATAACCACTGGACTGCTAACCACAAGGTCAGCTGTTCAAACCCACTCCTTGAAAACCCTATATGGGGTCGCTATGAGTCTGAAACGACTCGAAGACACCTAACAAAAACAACATGTGTTCCTCATTCAACTAAAACTATAAAATATTGCAAATATATTTAAAACCTCTTGTATACCCTTCCTCAGTGTCCCATTCTTCTCTCTGAGAGCTAAACATTGTTCTGAAGTTGTTGTTTATTATGTTCATGTATTTTTATGTTTTTGTTACATAGGTGTGTCTCAATAATATATAGTATTGTTTTACATGTTTTTGAGTGTTATATAAATTAAATCATATTAGATATATTCTTATCTTTTTTTCTCTTAACATTTCTCTCAGTCGTGTTGATACATATAGCTGTAGTTCATTCATTTTAATACTTTCTAGTAATCCATTGTGAGTATACCACAGTTTATCCATTCTCCTGTAAATAAACATTTCATTTTACTAAAGGATGTTGATCAGGAAGTGTCATGGACAGATTTATTGTTTAGTCATATCACTTAGGGTTGGATGTATAGGATTGACATGAGGGGTCGAGATTGTTGTAGAGCATTTGTTTACAAGTTTTCTGGACTCAGGACCCCTTTATAATAAAAAATTATTGAGGTCCCCAAAGAGCTTTTATTTATGTGGTTTGTATTTACCATATTATAAATTAAAACTGAGAAAAATGAAAATATTTATTGAGAAATTATAATAATAAACTATTACAGTTAGCTTAAGTTTTTAAAGAAAAATAACTTTTTTTCCAATAAAAAGTTAGTGATATGAATTGAATTATTTTATATTTTTCAAATATCTATAATGTTTGGGTTAATAGAAGCCAGCTGTATCCTCAGATCTGCTGCTGCATTCAGTCTTTTGTGATATCAGTTCATGTATCCTCTGGAAAACTTCACTGTACATCTGTGAGAGAATGAGGGTGAAAAAGTCTAATAATATCGTAGTTGCATCAAGAACTTACTTTTGACCTTACATATTCTCTGAAAGGGTCCAGAGGAAGAAAGGCCCTCTACCACACTTCCCACCCTTACCACATCTCATCCCTGCCTCATTCTCAATGGTATAATTTTGCCTTGTTGCACTGCAGGATGGATCCATGCTGTGCTGACCCCTGTGGACTGCCTTGCCTTTGGAGGGAACTTCTTACACAGCCTTAACATTGAAATGCAGCTCAAGTGAGTCCTGAAACTGTGGTGATCCTGAGTTAGGCATTTCTATCTGCTAGAGTTCTTAGGTTATCCTCTAGTTGTAGGGAATGCAGCACAGAAGGCAAGATGCTCAGAAAAGGATGCATATTGGTTCTTGATGATGTTTAGTCTGTGGACAGCATTTATTCCTTATTTAGTAGTATATATGACTTTGGACAAGTAACAGTCTGGGGATGCAGACTATCTAATCTGTAAAACAAGATCTTAAAGGGTCATTGTGAAGACTAGAGATAATGATATAATGCAACTTAAACAATCTCTGATACATATTAGAATCTCAGTAAATGGGAGCCCTGTTATCATTTTATGCCTACTTCCTTCAGAGCCTATGAAATTGAGAAGCGGCTGAGCACAGCAGACCTCTTCAAGTTTCCCAACTTTGAGACCATCTGTTGGTATGTGGGAAAACACATCCTGGATATCTTTCGAGGTATGGAGCCCTTTGCCCATTGTTTCTTTTGTGAGTGTGTATGTGTAAACCATCACTGCAATCAAAATATATTCCATCACCACAAAGATTTCCTTTAGAGTTACCACTCACCCTCAATCCCTGAACCATTCTAGAAACCACTAATCTGTTTTCTATCTCCATAATTTTCTCATTTCAAGACATACACTATGGAACCTTTTGAGCTTGGCTTTTTTCACTGAAAAAAAACAAACATACAGGGTGTGGATTTTACCTTTTTTATTTTATAAGAGTAGCTGAGAAAATTGGATCAGAATGAAATTATACTTATTTTCTTTAAGGTAAGAAACTCAATCTTGATAGTCTCAGCGTTTCCTTGATGGACTTCCCATGGGGAGAAAGTACAGTCTTGTATCATCTCCTTGGCTCTTAAGAATCAATCCAGATGGAAACTTGCTTGCTGGGTTTTCTTTTTCCTGGTCTGCTTTGAAATAGAGTAGGTCCTTTGCTCAAGCCTAATGATTCCTCAAGGTGACTTGATCAAGTGGAATCAGAATCTCAGAATTATGAAAAACCTCAGTCTTACCCAATACTTCAAACTATTCTGTCATCTAGGAAGATTACAGTTAAGTGTTCTATCAGAAGCTGGATGATAAAGTGCCTATTACCTGTTCTGAACAGGTTATTTCAGTAGAAAATTCTTTATTGAGCCTATATCTGACTGTTTGTAATAGCCTTCCCCATTGGAGTAACTATTACCTATAGTTAATCCCTCTTCTACACTTGTTAAAGTGCTGTTAAGTTGGTTCCAAATCATAGCGACCCTGTACAAGGTTTCCAAGGAGCAGCTGTTAGGTGTGAACTGTCTACCTTGTGGTTAGCAGTCCAGTGCTTATCCTACAGTGTCACACCATTCTAATGGTCCTTCAAATATATGTAGGTAACAATCATTGTCCTTTTGAGTGTTCTAATTTGAAATCTAAGAGATAGTACAGCAGAAAAACACAAGCCTCAGATTCAAATAGACATGGTTTCAATTCTGAATCTGTCCTTGTATTATATGCCCTGGGTTAAGGCTTTTCACCTCTTTGAGCCTCAGTTTTCTGAACTGTAAAATGGAGATAATAGTATCTGCCGCTCAGAGTGGAATACGGATTAAATGAGGTATAATGAATGTCAAGTGGCTAGTACATAGTAGATACTTAGTAAGGAACAGTATTATAAAAATCCAGATCTAGAGTTTTGCTCTGAATCCTGAACATTATCTCTGGTTTTCTGACAAAAGTAGCAAGTCGTTCACTTTCTGCATGTCTTCCCTGACACTGTGCCTTCCTCCTTTCTTAGGTTTGCGAGAGAATCGGAGACACCCTGCCTCCTACCTGGTCCATGGTGGCAAAGCCCTGAACTTGGCCTTTAAAGCCTGGACAAGAAAAGAAGTAATATACTTATTTCTCTACTTCCTTTAGATTTTTTCTCTTTTCAGGGATTGGCTTTGAGTAGATGCTTTGGGGAAACAGAATGGACCAGGAAAGTATGTGGATTACTGAGTTATAGTAGAACACTGGCATAGGATTCCTCTTTAAAATTTTCTTTCTGATTATAGAACATAATACATGTTTACTGTAGAGAATTAGAAAAATACAGAAGAGTATACAGAAGAGAAAATATCACCTGTAATTTTAACACTCAGAGGGGAACAACCATGAACATTTTGGTATATTTCCTTCTGATCTTTTTTATATGAACTTTTAAAACATAATTGCTGTCTCATTGTACTTACAACTTTGTTTCTGAATCTATTGGCTTATCTTTAAGCATTTTCCTGTATCACCAAAGTTCTTCATGGGCATTTAGTTATGATATGACATTCATGGACATGATATTCTTTTGCAGTGATGTGTCATTCCTTACCTAGCTACTTGCTTATTGTTAATTCTTTTTTTTCTGTATATTTTTGGGGGAGGAAATATTTATAGAGAAACGAGCTCTACTGGTGCAGTGGTTAAACATATGACTGCAAATTGAAAGGCTGATGGTTCAAACCTACCCAGGGACTCTGTGGAAAAAAGACCTAGCAATCTACTCATGTAAAGATTACAGCCAAGAAAACATGATGAGATAGTTCTACTCTGTCACAGGTGTCACTATATGAGTCAAAAATCAACTTGATGGCACTGAACAGCAACAACAATTTATAGAGAATCCAGTAGTGAATACCTGTATGCATCAGTCTTTGTCCTTCATCTCTTGATTGTTTCTTCAGGATAGATTCCTGGAAGAGTAATTGCTGGATCAAAGTATATATATTTTTTAATGTAAGGCTCTTGATGCATACTGCCAAAATGGCTATTTAGAAATGCCATTATTTGTGTATTCAATGGTTTACTATTTAAGAGCTATAAAAGAAACTAAGAAAGCTGGGTTATCTACCAGAATTTTTCAGGTAAACTGTATAGAGCTGTGTTACCTAATGTGTAAAATAGGAGAAAACGAGAGTTATACATATACACACGTTTGTACAAGGAGATTTCAAAAAGTTCATGGAGAAATGGAATTAAAAGATAATGAAATTTTTCCATGAACTTTTTGAAGCCCCTTTATACTTGCTTAAACACATAATCTGGAGGGATACATAAGAAACTAATAAAAGTGAGAATAGGATGATAGCCTGCTGACAAGGACAGGAGTAGAGTGAAACTTCCAATATATATCTTTTTATTTTGTTTGGTTTTTGAGCCGTGTAAATGGATTACTTGTTCAAAAGAATGAATTTTTAAAAATTAGGAAATGAAAAAAAGAAGAGGAAAAAGTATACCACTAGGCTTCAGATACTTCTTACAGTCTCCTTTCTCTGCATACAATGACCTAAGCATACCTTTCAGCCACTGTAGTTTAACTTACGCAATCTCCCCATTTCCTGTTGCCACCAGATAAACTTGGACTTCATGTTTTGTGCTTTCTCTTGCTCCCTGACACACCTACACCTGGACCTTAGACTATGATCTCGCTTTCTCCACACACCTCAGGTGTGGCTACCTTGAGTTTCATCTCTGACCCTTCTTTTTATCAGTTCTCTGGATGAGGTGAAGTGAAAAGCAGTGGAAGAACTCACAAGCAAAAAGCTTGAGAGATCAGTCTGCATGCAGATGTAAATCTTGGGTACATGTTTACTGTAAAAGAGAGGTCTCTCCCTGTGCATCTGTAGCTGCTCAGTACTGGAGATCTTTACTCCTTGTATGGTGCTATAGGATAAGCACTGGTCTGTGAACCACAATGTCAGTGGTTAAACTCACCAACTACTCCTCGGAAACCCTGTACAGGGTCGCTATGAGTTGGAATTGACTCAATGGCGTGCAACAACAACAATAATCTCCCTGAGGCCCCTGATTTTTATTTATATTTTTGAGATTCTAGAAGTTCATCATTAAATACTATACTAACACTGGTTTTTAAAAAGTGAAAATAAATGTAATGATTGTTGATCTGATTTCACATCAATTACCTTGGCTGCATCTTTTCTGCTTAAAAACATTTTAATGTGATCAAATTACATTTTATGTAATTAACTCATAATTTAATTGAACTGACTGAATCAGACATTGCTTTGATATTAATGTTTTTTTAAAAATGTCTTTGCTTATGGGAACATAGCTTCAGGATATTTCTACTCAAGTTGAACTCAGGTTTTTAACACTTCTCTTTTATATAAAATATCACTTTAGACTAAATTCAACTTTGTGACATAGTTTTGTTTGCTTTTTTACTCTACAAAGATTTTGTATATCAACAGAATCAATGCATTGAAAAAGCACAGGCCCTGGAGTCAGAAAAACTTGTTTCCATTCTGTATTCTGTCATTTATTAACTGTGTAAGGTCTAAGCCCACAACTGAGTTCCTCAAACCCTTTGATACCTGTCCTTTATCAAGATATATATTTTGCAAATATTTTCTCTCAGTCTGAGACTTGTTTTTTCTTAAGTGTTTTTCAAAGAGAAGTTTTTATTTTTGGTTAAGTTCAGTTAACTAGTTTTTTTCTTTTTACATGTGTCCTATTTAAGAAATCTCGGCCTAACCTAAACTCACAAATATTTTTCTCCTAAAAGGTTTTTAGTTTAGATTTTATATTTAGGTCTATGATCTATTTTGAGAGTTTTTTGTTAATACTTTTTTTTATGGCCTCAAATATTGAGGATTTTTTTTTAAATTTCTTCACACAGATATCCAATTTGTACCATTTGTTTAAAAGTCTACCTTTTCTCCATTGAATTGCTTTTGTCAAAAATCAGTTGTTTATTGATGTGTGGATCTATTCCTCATAATTCTTGTTTGACAGGCTCTTCCAGACCATGAAGATGAGATCCCAGAGACAGTGCGAACTGTACAGCTCATTAAGGATCTGGCTAGGGAAATCCGCTTGGTGGAAGTAAGAAGCATGGGCAGAGGGAAGATATTGGGGAAGGACTTGAGGCTCATGTGGCAGGTCAGACCTCTACAATTGACTTGAGAGCCTGGGAGAAGGGTTGGGAAATGCTACCAAGAATCCTATTCATTTATTTGAATAATTATTATAGGCCTACAGTGTGCTGCACATTGTTTCTATGCTCTTGGGATACATAATATCCCTGCCCACAGTCTAGTAGAAGACCCTGGGAAAAGTTAACCTTTTTAAGCTTCAGTTCCTCATCTCTAAAGTGGGGATGATTATATCTACTCAGTGGTTGTTAAAAAGAATGAATAAGACAATGCAAGTTGAACACAAGTACAGGGCTTAGCATACAGTAGGCGTTCAATAAATTCCGATTTTGGGTTATGGTGGTGATGGGTGGTAGTAGTTGTAGTAGTAGTTGTTGTTATTGTTAATATTTTGACTCAGTCTCTGCATTCTGCAAAATTAGTTTTCTCAGGTTGAAGATGATTACAAAGCCATGTTTCACCAGGTGGCCTATACCATGAGGGAGTGAGGTATAGTGGTAAGAGACTCAGAGAAACCTAGGTACTGGTTCCCACTCTGTCACTTGCAAGTCTTTCATATCCTCATTTTTCTCATATGTAAAATGAGGATAATACCAACCTTTCAATGTCTTTTTAGAATTAAAGAGCTAAGGTATGTAGAGCCCCTCACATACCTTAGTACTTTAGTACTCTTAGTACTCTACCTGTAAGAGTACTTACTGGCAGAGTAAGTACTCAATAAATGTAAGCCATGTTGTTAATAGATTTTGCAGCAAAGAGAGAATCAGTGTGGTCTGGCAAAGTAGCAGAGGCACCAAAGGAGATTTGAACTTTAGGATGTTTAAACTTTCCTTGAACTCAGATGCTATAATGTTCTCATATATACATTAATGTTCTATAATATTTGGGATATATATCCATGCTTACAGGTGGCCAGAGTTATAGTTACTGGGAATTTGGGATTCTACTCCCACTATTTGCAACATGTTTCATAGTCTACATGATAGTTTGTGTTGTGTGCTTCCTACTTCATTTTCCTCCGCTCGCATAACTTAGAATTCTTCAGGGTTTAGTTTAAGGCCCACCTTTTCTTTGATTCTTCTCACTTAAATCAATCTTGTTTACATAGAACTTAGGGCTTGTTGGAAGAGAACAGAAATATCAATCATATCTAGCCCAGTGGCTTTCAATATTTTAAAGCAATCGAATCCTTTTTTCAAATGAGATCTTATGTGGAAGCCCAATATATGTGACAAATTTAAGTATAGCTGATTTGAGTGAGATAAAGGTGGGAAGCCTAGAGTTGCACATGTTCCTGTTTTCTGCCTTCCATCTCCCTCTAATCCTCAGGGCTCCTGAGAAGCTCAAAGGGATCACAGAACATCTTTGAAACTACTTGTACAGCCTAATTCTTTTATTTTACAGCTGAACAAACAGAATTCTAGAAGTAGTCAGATGTCTTCCTGAGGCTATATATCTAGTTAGTATCAGAATTAGGACTCTAGAACTTTTCTTCTTTCAAATCATGTAGTCCTTATGATTTGAACTATACAGTTTAGTACTAGTCAACTTTTGTCTTACGTCAGCTCTTCTTGGAGTCTTTTCTCCAGTTGTGACAGTAGAGCCAGGGCTTTTCCTTTGCTTGTCTTCTCTTTACTTGCCAATGGCTGAGTAAAGAAACACCATCCAGTGAATTCTCAATGATTCATTGTGCAATAGCTGTGTATAAGTAGCCCATCTGTAAGCCACTTTCATTGCAGTACTTCCTATAGCAGGCAGATCTCTGCCCTTAGAATAGAGATAACCTTTGAGTAAGTTCTAATCCCCTTGTGTACTAACACTCTTGTAGGATATCTTCCAACAGAACATTGGGAAGACAAGCAATATCTTTGGGCTGCAGAGGATCTTCCCAGCTGGCTCCATTCCCTTAACCAGGCCAGCTCATTGCACTTCAGTATCCATGTCCAGGCTGTCACTGCCCTCCAAAAGTGGTTCAAAGAAGAAAGGCCTGAAGCCCACGGACCTCTTCAAGAAGGCAGAGCGAAAGGGCAAGGAGAGCTCAGCCTTGGGGCCTGCTGGCCAGTTGAGCTATAATCTCATGGACACATACAATCATCAGGCACAGAAGACAGGCTCTTCCCAGAAAGCAAAGGTGGGTGCTGACCCATGGATTCAACCCAACCCTTTTGGGTCCCTTGAAATAGCAGGGTATCAAATGGACAGGCTATTCTGTCCTGTTCCCACCTCCCTTATGTCCTCTGATGTTTGGCTACCAGTCTCACTCAATTATCAGGCATTTATTGAGACCTTTTTTATGCTGTGCACTGTGATAGGTGCTGTGAACATAGCCATATGGAGGCTTACAGGTTGGTGAGAAAGATAATAATGAAAGCAAATGAGTTTAATGAAATGTGGATGCCACAGTTAAGGATGTGTGTTGGACCCTGAGATACAGGGGACTAGTTCTATCCCCTTAGGGGAGATGTCCAGGAGTGATACTTGAATTTCGAAATGCTGAGAGGGGGGTGACAATTGAGAACATAATGTATGAGTCAGGTTGGAATGTTGATCAGATCCTTGAGAAAATTCTTTCTCCGAGGCCTCCCCCATGCCATAAGACAGCGGTACCCTTCATAGGCATCTAAATATGCCCCCTTCATACCTCTTCTAAGGGAATGTTTCATTTGATAGATGAGTTTCCCTGAGCTGGTCACAAATGATTACAAAATCAGCCTCCTGATTTTGTAATCATTTAGGTGGGAATGGGGGGTGGAGTAGCAGAAGACCTGGTGTTTTGACAGATTAACCAGTGAAACTGGAGGGTACTGGCTATTTTGGTTCATGTGGGAGTACCAGACAAGTGACAACTGAGCATCCTCCTTCTGCAGTTCATCACTGGTACCTGCTTGAATGACTCAGACAACGACTCACCAGACTTGGACCTTGATGGAAATGACAGCCCACTGGCCCTATTGATGTCTAATGGCAGGTGAGGTGGAGAGAAAGAGAATAGTGATACAGGAACTGTCAGTGGCAACATACTGCTAAGACGGGGTGTGGAAACAGGACTTGGGTTGGGACATGGGTAGGGGAGAGGCTGTATTTAGGGGACATACAGGAAGTCCCTTGGTTATGAATATTTGACTTAGACTATTGTTAACTGCCATCAAGTCAGTTCTGACTCATAGTGACCCTGTATAGGGTTTCTGAGGAGCATCTGGTAGGTTTGAACTGCTGACCTTGTGGTTGCCAGTCCAGTGCTGATCCTACAGCATCATATCAAGAGTCCTTACTGGCTCCTCCTTGTTATGTAAAATTGGCCTCACTTTGAAACCAACTCATACTCAAAACAAATTCTTCATCACAATCACTTTCACATGCTGCATGTGTAGCTTTTAAATCATTGAAAAGGGTTCAAGTCTTTTGCACTAAAATAAGGCTAAATAAGAACCATATGCACCTATTTTGACTTACCTACAAATTCAACTTAAACACATATTTCATAACCCCGGGACTGCCTGTACTTAAATATTGGTAGATATCATCGCTTAGTTCAGAAAACCATGGTAGGGTTTGGATGGGTAAGGGGAGAGGTCTGTAATCTAATTGCTGAAAGATCTTGTATAAATTCTAGAAATATCGACAAGGCAGTGGGTCAGAACCAGTGGCAGAATTCAGATTTAAGAGCATTAGATTTTTATATACGATTTGACCTTGCAATTTGATTTTTAGGAGTTCATTTTGCAGAAAGTTTAGCACAGTTAAGTAAAAAGAAATGTTCAATGTTCATTGCATCATTATTTGTAATAGTAATTGGAAATATTCAAATGCTTCTCAGTGAAGGTTGAGTAAAAAGCATATAATAAAACCGTTTAGTATCTATTGACAAGGAAAGATGTAAAAGATATATTCTTAAGTGAAAACATATGTTGAAAAATAATATGTGGCAATAGTGCTATTATTATTATTTTTTTTAGTTTTTATTGTGAACTGAGTGATAGTTTACATGGGAAAACATTGACTTTACACCATAGTTTCATTGCAATGATTACAATCTCCTCCATGCATCATCATTCAACATTTGCTTCCATTCCCTCTGTTTTTTGTTGATATTTTTGTGTGTTTTTTTTGGGGGAGTGGGGGGGCGGAGACGTACACAAAAACATTCAGGAATATATAATAGTTTAAACAACCAAAGGGCACATTCTGCAAGCCTGCCTCCTGGCCGCCAGCACCCAGTCCCTCTCTTTCCATGAGTACAGAGTCCTCAGCTGTTCCCTCTCTCCATGTCCTCCTCATTTCTGCCTCCATCTCTGGTGTCACTGCTTCTCTGGATAGGGTCCCACATTCTGCTTGTGCTCTTCTCCCTTGATGATGGTCCTAGGGTCCTCTGTTTCTGGACTGCAAGATTACTCCCCCGTTTTTGTTACAAAACTTCTACCTTTACAGTTGTGACAGTCACAATTAGTCATGATAACAGTTACTCAATATTGAATCATAATATCCCCATCTCTTTTTACCAGACCCATCTAGACAAGATGAAAACTATTCAGTGGGGACTCTACCTTCCCCCACACACTCTTTAACTAAACTCCCTCTTGAGAACTTAAAAGCCACTCACTTCATGCCTTTATCACCCCCACTCATTTTAGGTAGCCAATGTCTAAGTTGCCCGTCCCTATCAACTCTGCATACAGAGTTGAAGACTCCTTCCCTCTCAGTTGGTATTTTGAGGTAATACATCCATAAGTATGGGTCAAGTTCTTCAAATTGTAGCAGTTTACAATTGTTTCGTTTTTCAGATTTTTTTTTATCTTCTTTTAGTTGAGTTGTGATCAAGCCATCAAAGCTAGGTCAAATGGGTACTATGTACAAATTTGGGTGTTCTTGTGCATCTCCCCTCACTTCATATCAGCTGGACACTTCACTCTCAGCTCTAGGCCTCCATGGCTATGTCCTTGTCCATGGGCTCAGAAGTCCCCAGGTCCCACCACGCTTTGGACCAACCAGCCCTTCCTCTTCTCTCTGTCGTCTCCAGGGTCACCTCTTTTTGGAATGGGAAAAATATGGATCTCTTCTATGGACCTTCAGTAAATTGGCATAGACAACTGAGCACCTCTGTTGCTGCCTCAGTTTGTTAAAAGATTTCAATTTTTTTTTTTTTTTTTTGTCAATCCTGGATCCTTGTTGTTCGCAGTGCCTTCAGTATAGCTTGGATGTCTTCCGTCAGTACCATTGATTCTTTTTTTTTTTTAGTATGATTCTTGATCATAGGCTACCTTTTGAAATGAATGGTTGATCGATCCTTGTCCAGTGGTTTTGGTACTATTAACTGTGTATTCCTTTCATCTTCTTTTGATGCTTTCCGCATCATTGAATAGTTTGCCCATAGAATCCGTCACTATTTCAAGTTGAGGCTTGAATTTTTTTTTTTTTTCTTCTTTCAGTTTGAGAAATGGTAAGCCTGTTTTTGCCCTTTCCATTTTCTAACGCCAGGTCTTTGCACATTTCATTGTAATACTTGACTTTGTTTTCTTAAGCTACCCTTTGAAACTTTCTGTTCTGCTCTTCTACTGCCTCATTTTTTCCATTCGCTTTAGCATGTCTATGCTGGAGAGAAAGTTTCTGAGTCTTGTCTGACATCGATTTTGGTCTTTTCTTTTTTTCCTGTCTTTTTAATGACCCTTTGCTTCCTTCATGTATGATGCTCTTCGTGTTATCCCACAACTCTTCTGGTCTTCGGACTTTAGTGTCTAATGCATCAAATCTGTTCTTAAGATGGTCTCCAAATTAATTTATGATATATTCAAGTTCATATTTTGGTTCTTGTGGACTTGTTTTAATTTTCTTCAGTTTCATCCTGAACTTGCATATGAGCATTTTATGGTATGTTCCAGTTTTCCCCTAGCCTTGTTTTGGCTAATGATATTGAACTTTTCCACCATCTTTTCCCACAGGTATAGTCAATTTGACTTCTGTGAGGTCCTTTTATGTCCTGCCAAATTCTATCATGTAGTCTCTGGCATACCAATGCCATATTTTCCAGTTATTGATCCTTTCTCTTTTTTTCCAACCTTTACATTGCAATCACTAGTAATTATTAATGACTCTTAATTGCATGTTTCATCAGTTTCATACTGAAGAATTTGGTAGAATTTTTCAATTTTATCTTCAGTGGTTAGTGAGAAGATTTTATTAATAGTAGTAGTAGTAACTGGTTTCCTTTGTAGGCATTTTCCTATCACAGAGAGCCTTGTACTGGAATTTAAAAATCTTGTGATCACCCATCTAAGATATACCTATTGCTCTCTACTCATCAGAATCAAAAGAGTAAGAATGTAACTAAAATTTCTGAGAAGAGACAAATCTACAGGGCTAATGGCTTACTTAAGCCAAGATCTCATCTGCCCTGAGACCATAAGAACTAGATGGTACTTAGTTATCACACCTGACAGTCTAATCAGAATAGATGGTCTCTGGTAAAATGGAAGAAAAATGTAGGACAAAACTTTAATTCTTAAAAAGCCCAGATTAGCTGGATCAGTTGAGACCAGAAGATGATTCCCTGAGACTATTGACCTAAGGCATGCTTTACACCTTGAACTGAGAAACTATCCTCTCAGATCACCTTGTAGCAAAATAGCAGAGTGGCACACAAAATAAAGGATATTATCCATAAGAATGATGCTCTATTAAAAAATCATCTGTAAGAGACCAAAAGTTACACATGTGCTCTAAAGCAAAGACAAGAAGAAAAGGAGGCAGGGAAACTAGAGTACTGCAAAAGGAATAGCCAGAACACAAAGAGAACGCTGATACATTGTGAAAAATGTATTAATGTCAGTGAGCTATTGGCATGGAAATTGTCAAATGGGAATGCAACTTATATGAACTTTCACTGAAAGTGTACTAAAATAGTATTTTTTAAAAAGAAAAGAGAAACTTTACTTCCCCTGAGATTGAGTATAAGACAAAGATATCTACTTTTACAACTTCTGTTAAACAATATTATTAAGAATTACTGTATCAAGGGCTATGTCTGAAAAGATGGCTTTTTATTCTGTTTGCACAAAATTAGAATAATCAGTTTGGTTTTTAGTCTTAAATAACATTGGTTTTCAAAATTTAAAAAACATACAACTTTGTTTAAAAGAGCAAAAAAATGGGCAGAGGACATGAAAAATGTCTCAACAAAGTGGCAACAGACTTAATGCAATTAGCTATCATTCCCTCAAAGATGGCAAAAATTTAATTAATTGAAAACAACAATTTTTAGAGTTGATGATGAGAAATTAGAACCCTCATCCATTGCTTCTCGGAATGCAAAATGGTACAGCCGTAACACACAGACTGGCAGTTCCTCCAAAACCTAGAGGTAGAGCTGTTGTGTAACCAAGCAATTCCATTCCTAGGTATATACACTGGAAATCTAATACAAGTGACATGACCAGATATATACACACCCAAAGTCGTTTGAACCACTAGGGTGGCAGTTCAAGCTCACCAGCTGCTCCTCAGAAACTCTATACAGGGTCACTATGAATTGGAACCGACTCAACAGCACTTAACAACAACATGTTCTCCTAAGTACTCTTCAATAGATGAATAGATAAGTAGAATGTGGTACATATGTACAATTGAATATTCCTCTAATCTAATTGCCATCGAGTCTGTTCCAACTTATAGCGTGTCTATAGGACTGAGTGTGGTGCTATGGGTTAATGTGCCAGACTGCAAAGCCATTTGCGCTATAAGGTCGGCGGTTCAAGCTCACCAGCTGTTCCTCGGAAACCCTACATAGGGTTGCTATGGGTTGAAACCGACTCAACGGCACTTGACAACAACAACAAATAGGACTGAGAGTAAAACTGCTCCTTATGGTTTTTAAGACTGTAAATCTTTATGGGAGGAAACAGCCTCATTCCTTCTGCTGCAGAGTTGCTGGTGAGTGTGAATCATTGACCTTCCAGTTAGCAGTCCAATTAATGGCCCACTGTACCACTAGGGCTCCTTGAGTAATAAGATTACAAAAGGAAAAAATATATATACAGATTGGAGAAGTAAAATGATCTCTTTTTGCCAGTGGCTTGATCCTATTCTTAGAAAATGACAAAGATTCCACAAGAAAACTATTAGAGCTAATAGAGGAATTTAGCAAAGTTGTAGGACAAATGGTCAGTTGGGTTCCTATACACAAGCAATGAGAAATCTGAAAGAAAAATTAGGGAAACAATTCCATTTTCAGTAGCATATAAGAAAATACCCAGAAATTTGACCAGAAGGGCATGTAAAATGAAAACTATAAAACACTTGAAATTTTAAAAGATTTAACTAAATAGAAAGATGTTCCATGTTCATGTAATGAAAGATTCAATATTGTTAACATGTCAATACTATCCAAAGCCATCTATACATTCAAGACAATCCCCTCAAAATCCCAACAGCTATTTTTTATATAAATGAAGAAACTAAGCCACATCTTTGTGTAGAATGGCAGAGGTCCCAAATAGCTTAAGCAGTGTTGAACGAGAAGAACAAAGTAGAAGGCTTCATACTTCCTGATTTTAAAACATACACAGCTGTAGTAAACAAAGCAGCTTGATAACTGACATAACAATAGGCACATAGATCAATGGAATATAATTGAGAGTTCAGAAATAAACCCACAAATATATGGTCAACTGATGTCCATTCATTCATGAAAGAAGAGTCTCTTCATTAAATGGTGTTGAGAAATCTGTAGGAAAAGGAAACAAGATCCATCATATACTAAAAAAAAGAAATAGATTAAAGAAATAAATATGCAAAGTAGTCTTAAAATTAATAGAAGAAAATACAGGGGCATTATAGATTGAATTGGAGTTCTGCTGTGACTGCAAGGTTGCACCAGCTGGCAGCTCCTAGGAAACCCCATACAGGGTTGCTATGAGTTAGAACCTACTCGATGGCACTTAACAGCAATAACATACATTGAATTATGTCCCTGAGAAATGTGTTGCAAATCCTAACCTAGATGATTATGATCTCATTTGAAAATGGGTTGTCTTTGTTATGTTAACAAGGCAGGGTTAATGTGGGGGCATATCTTTTGAAATAAAAAAGAGATAAACTAGCCATCAACGGAAAGATGGGATAAGATAGATGCCAAGACACTTTGAAATCTCCAAGTAACCTGGAGGCAGAAGCTAAACAGACAAGAGAGAAAGCCTTCCCCTAGACCTGGCACTCTAAATTTGGACTTCAAGCCTCCTAACTTGAGAAATAATTTCTGTTTGTTAAAACCGCTGCAAAAACCATGGAAGGACCATGTCTTAGTTCCACTGGCTTCAAAAGGGGGCAAGCGAATCCAATTCCTGTGAAGTGGAAGTCAGACATGCCTCTACCTTACATCCTTCTTTACCCTATTCTGAGACCACTATCCTTCCACAGCACTCTTTACTTCACATCCGGATTTGATAATCCATTGTAATGGCCACACAGAACTCATAGAAATACTTAACCATTATGGGGTTTATTAGGGAAGTAAACTGGTTACAATTCAAGATCAGAAAACAACTCAGGATACAGCAGTTTTCCAATCAGGAATACCTTTTCTCCATCATACTGCTGGCATGCCTCACTCTTGTCTTTGGCCTCTCAGTCATATGGTCCCTTGGCCTCTGCCCATCTCAGACAAGTGTTACCAAGTTCTTTTAGCCAATCTGTAAATATCCAAAGGGCACATTTTGCAGACCAGCCTCCTGCTTGTAGGCACACAGCTTTACATATTGCTGCCTCTGCCACAGCCTTTCCTGTCACCACTTTTCTGGGTAGGGATCTCACATTCCACTCACGTTCTTCTTTCTTGATAGTCTTGGTTCATCTGCTCCTGCTTCTGAGATGACTGCTTTTAAACCTAGCTTGATGGCAAAACTAACCAATCCTAGTCTTAGAGTCCTACATACCGTATTTGCACGATGTCACTTAATCACTTGGTGGGAATTAAGAAGACCTTGGATAGAAAACCCACATCAAGTAAATTCAAGGTACCACAGTTGTCTATGAGTATTCCTGTTGTAGCAGAACTCGATAATTTAGATAAGGCCTAATTTTTTAACAACGAATTATCTAATATAATCACAAAGAGAAAACAACAAAAACAAAATTAATCAGACTTCACAGAAATGAAAAATGTTTGCTAATCAAAAGACTTTACCAAAATGTGAGAAAACAAGCTACTGACTGGGAGAAAATCTTCAGAAGCCATATACCTGGTATAAATCTAATAACCAAATACAAATATATATATATAACGCTTTGACAACTGAACAAAACAAGTGAACACAATCATAAAATAGGCAAAGGCTTGAAAGATACTGCACCAAAGAGAACAACTGGTAACTTTGCTCTTGAACACTTTTAAAAAGGTCTTGTGCAGCAGATTTGCTGTCTCCATGAATGTTGATAGTGGATCCAAGAAAAATCAAGTCTTTGACAACTTCAATCTTTTATCCATTTATTATCATGATTGGTTCATTGGTCCAATGGTGAGGATTTTTGTTTTCTTTACATTGAGGTGCAACCCCTACTGAAGGCTGTGGTCTTTGTTCTTCATGAGTAGGTATTTTAAGTCCCCATCATTTTCAGCAAGCAAGATTGTACCATCTGCATATTGCAGGTTCTTCAAATTCTGATGCCATGGTCTTCTTTATATTATCCAGTGTCTCAGATTATTTGCTCACCATAGATATTGAATAAGTATGATAAAAGAATACTATACTGGCACATACCTTTCTTGGTTATAAACCATTCAGTGTCCCCTTGTTCTGTTTGAATGACTGTCTATATACGGGTTCCTCATGGAGGGCAGTTAAATATCCTGGAATACTTATTCTTTACAATGTTATTCATAGCTTGCTATGCTACATGCAGTTTTTGCATAGTCAATAAAGCACAAGCAAACATCTTTCTGGTATTCTTTGCATTCAGCCAAGATCCCTCTGATATCACCAATGATATCCCTCATTCTACATCCTCATCTCAATCTTTGACAGTTCTCTGTCATTCTGTTGGGTCATCTCTCTTTGGAATGGACAAATATGGATCTTTTCCAATCAGTTGGCCACGTATCTGTCTTCCAAATTTCTTGGCATAGATGAATGTGTGCCTCCAGTATTACATCAGTTTGTTTAAAGATTTTAATGTGTATTCCATCAATTCCTTAGAGCTCACTAGTGCCTAGGATATCGATCCTAGCATTTAATTTTTGAAACTGCCATTTTTTTTAGATTCTTTATTCATATATTCCATGTTCCTATTATTAAAGAATGTCTACAGCTATTTATCCTCATTTTGAGTTGTGTCCCATTAGTAAGTGAAGGTCTAGATAGCTTTAGTCCATTTGCATTATCATGGTCAACTCTACTTTGAGGAGGCAGCTCTTCCCCAGTCATATTTTGAGTACCTTCCAACCTGGCGGACTCACCTTCCAGCACTATATCTGACAATATATCTGAAGCTGCATATGACCAAACAGTTCCACTGCTAGGTATGTACCCAAAATGAAATCAAAGACTCTAACACAGACTTCTACTCCAGTGTTCATTGCAGCAGTATTCACAATTGCCTGAATGGTGGAAACAACCTAAATGTCCATCAACAGATTAATGGGTTAACAAAATGTGATACTCAGCAAATAGGAAAAAGTCTTGATATATGCTAATGTGTGGATAGGGCTTGAAGACATTATGCTGAATGACCAGTATTGTAAACTTCAGTTACATATTAAAAAATAGAAAAGGCAAAGTTTTTAGTGTTTAACAGGAGCAGGAGAGCTTGGGGCAAAAGGCAGTTATTGCTTATGGAGTTCTGAATTTCAGTGTTTGATGATGGAAAAATCACATTCATTATGAGTAAAATAATTTTTAAAAAGAAAACCTTTTTCATTTTCCCAAAACGTTTCGAACATGGATAAACCTGTTGGACGTTGTATTGAACAAAATCAGACAATCACAGAAAAACAAATGCTGTATATTTCCCTGTAACAAAATAAACTGATTTAAAAATAGTATCACCCATAAATACTGTGCTCTGGTAAAAAAAAAAAAAAAAAAATCGTGTATATGAGACCCAATAATCAGCAATTATTTTAAAAAACAAAAATGATTATATAAAGGGATAGGGAAACTAGATTAATGGGAATAAACCACAACAGAAATAATGAAAATTGCGAAAAATGTAACCAATGTCACTGAGCAAGTTGTGTAGAAATTGTTGAATGGGAACCTAAACTGATATGTAAAAACCTTCACCGAAAACACAATAAATATAATTTTTTAACAATTTAAATAAGATCAAGTATAAATTTATGTTGTTAGGTTCTGTTGAGTTGGTTCTGACTCATAGAGACCCTGTGTACAACAGAATGTAACACTGTACCTGGTCCTGTGCCATCCTCACAGTTGTTACATTTGACCTATTGTTGCTGCCACTGTGTTAATCCAAATTTCAAGATTTCAGATTTGTTTTGGCTAGGCTAAATTCTTTGCATATCCACAAACATTTTGGAATCAGCTTGTCAATTTCTACCAAAATGCTGAGTGAATTTTGATAGGGATTGTATTGGATTTGTAAGTCAATTTTGGGAGAATTGTCATCTTAACAATATTGAGTGTGGCTATTTATTTTTATGTTCTCTTTCCTTTACTGCTCAGTACCAAGAGGATGAAGAGCTTATCCAAGTCTCGGCGAGCCAAGATTGCAAAGAAGACAGACAAGGCTAGACTGGTAACAGACCAAGAAATGGAGGATGAATTTGACCTGGATTCAGAAGATGAACTACACATTGATGAGAGATTGGAAAAGGAGAAGACAACCCTGATAATAAGACCAAGTGTGTCTCTTCTTTCTCATATCTGCCCACTTCACATGTTTTGGCCCCCTTGTTAGTCTCCAAGGCCCCTTGGTGGTACAGTGGGTTAAGCATTGGGCTGTTGGCGTCAAGGTCGGTAGTTCAAACCCACCAGCCTCACTGTTGGAGAAACATGGATTTGTCTATTGCTGTAAATATTTACAATCTCGGAAACCCTAAGGAGCATTTCTACTGTATCCTGTAGGGTTACAATGAGTCAAAACCGACAAAATGGCAGTGAGTTTGGTTTTTGTGTTAGTCTCAGCCTGTTAATATCTAATTTCCCAGGCTCTGTAGTCCTCTGTCATTTCTTTATTCTAGAGATTTATTTATAAACTTACCCTAACCTTACAAAATGAATTAACTGTGGTCATTACTTTTATAAAATAGTCTTAGTTTCCTTCCACTAGATGTTTGACTTATATGCTGATCTTAGCTTCATAACTAATGCATTTCATTTTTTCCCAGAATTTCCTCGGAAGTTACCCCGTGCAAAGCCTTGCTCTGACCCCAACCGAGTTCGTGAACCAGGAGAAGTTGAGTTTGACATTGAGGTAAGAGCCTATTTGTATTTAGCCTTGTGCTTATTTTGATCACAGAGACATGAGGCAGATTGTTACTCATGTTAGAAGAAAAAAAGAGACATTCTGTGCATTCAATTCTTAAAATATTTATTAAGGGACAGATTGTGTCTTGAATGATGCTAAGCATATAAATGAAAGATTATAGTATAAGAAAAAGCAATATAATTTAGCAGAAAGAGTATCATGCAATGTACTGTGTGACACTGTACAAATTATTTAACCTAACAACCTCAGTTTCCTTCTCCGTAAAGCGGGAATTGTAATACCTACTTTGGCACTATAGAATCAGCACTGGACTGCGAATCAGAGCCGACTCAATGTCACTTAACACCACCACCATACAAAGATGCTATGGAGATGAAAATACTGTTACTTGGTACTCAGAAGCTATTAGTATAATAAGTGAGACTGTTAACCCTGTACTAGGTTCTTACCAGACCAACCTTGGGCTGAGTTGATACCTTTTTTTCCCAACAGGAGGACTATACAACAGATGAGGACATGGTGGAAGAAGTTGAAGGCAAGCTTGGGAATACTGGAGCTGGTGGAATTCTTGATCTACTCAAGGCCAGCAGGCAGGTGGGGGGACCTGACTATGCTGCTCTCACGTGAGTACTGACTTTGATCTCCCTTTCTGGACCAACAGACAGCAACCTCCACCCCTCAAGGGCTAGGTCATCCAGTCAGCCATTTAAAATGACAAAACTATTCAGAATATTTGGGGTGAAAGAATAAGGTAGACTGAAACCTGTCTTGAGGAACTTGAGATTGGACAGTGATAGAATGTATAGACTTTTTATAACCTGAAGTCTTCAAGGAGAATGTTGTGTACTTTGGAAGTTGGAAAGAGGGGATGGAAGAGCCATGGAAGGGAAACTGGGCCTTTTCTGAGTTACTAAAAAGGAAAGAACATAGCATGGGTGAACAGGGTACTCAGAAAGAGCCAAGGGCTTCAGCTAACACCTTTCTTTTTGCCATCTTGACTGCAGTCTCTGGAGAGGCTTAAGGCAAGAAAGACTGACTTTTTGATGAAAACATATGATACAGTCTTTATCCTTTAGCTTAATTTCTGATTTTCCACCTTGGTTGGTTCTCCCTTTTCCACCCTAACCCCTGCAGCTGTTGTACCTCCTCTGACTATTCTGATGACTATTTTCCTTTGGTAGTTAGAGAACTACCCTCAGATTTCTCCTCTCTCCCTTGCAGTGAGGCCCCTGCCTCTCCCAGCACTCAGGAGGCCATCCAGGGCATGCTGTGCATGGCCAACCTACAGTCCTCATCATCCTCACCAGCTACCTCCAACCTGCAGGCCTGGTGGACTGGGGCGCAGGACCGAAGCAGCGGGAGCTCCAGCAGTGGGCTGGGCACAGTGTCTAACAGTCCTGCTTTCCAGCGCACCCCAGGGAAGCGGCCCATCAAGCGGCCAGCATACTGGAGAGCTGAAAGCGAGGAGGAGGAGAACGCCAGTCTAGATGAACAGGACAGCTTGGGAGCATGCTTCAAGGATGCAGAATATAGTAAGGACACCTGGTCCCTTGGGTCCAGGCCAGCAGAGCTCTCTAATCACAGTTTCAATCCCAAACCCAAGAGTCGAAGACTCTTGTTCATCAGTGAACAAGCAAAGGCCTGATGTTATGCTGCCTGATATTTAATTTCTGTGACCCATATTTTCTTTATATATATTTTTAATTGTGGTAAAATATATATATATATATATATATATAAAACAAAACAATTAAGCTATATTTTCTTAATCTGTAAAATGGTGATATTTCACAGGTTAGTGTAAGAATTGTAGATGATTCTTGCTGAGCACCTGGCATAGTGCCTTGTTTGTTGGATGCCCTCAAGAAATGGTTGTTTTTGTTGTTAGGTAGCTATTATAATTAGCTGTTGTTGTTAAGTGCCATCAAGTCAGTTCTGACTCATAGTGACCCTGTATAGGGTTTCCAAGGAGCAGCTGGTGAGTTTGAACCACCAGACTTTTACCACATCAGGACAGAATAATTAGCTATTATTTATTTATTTATTTTTAGCATTGTCCAACCTTTACTGCTGGTGATTCTTCCCTCCTACCTGCTCTACCTTCATCACCTGTTCTATGTTCTGTGTGCTCTGTGTCAGCCAGTTCATTCCTTGCAAAGGTTTCTATGTCCTTTCAGTGGACTTTTTACATTTAAGATTTATTGAGTATTGATGACTAATGTAGAATTTGTTTTATTGTTATTTTTGAAAGTTTATAAATATGGATAAATGTTCATTGACCAAAAATTAGAACAATACAAGATAAAACAATAATTTCCCCTGATGAACACCCATCTCCCTATGAGCCCAAAGGTAATAAATGCTGTTATCAGTTTGATGTATACCTTTCATTTCTTTTTTAAACTTTTATTATAAACTGAGTGATAGTTTATAGGGCATATCATCAGTTTTACACTCAACCAGTCATACTTCGTTTCACTGCAATGATTATAATCCCCTCCATGTACCATCAGTTAACAGTGTTTACTTCTGTTCACTACTTTTTTATATATATACACAAAGCACACAGAAAATACATATTCATTTAAACAACCAAAGGGTACATTTTGCAAGCCAGCCTCCTGCCTGCAGGCACACAGGTACACACACTTCCTCATTCCATGGGTCTAGAGTCCTCAGCTGCTCTCTCTATGCCATCACCTCTGCTTCTATTTCTGTTGTTGCCACTTTTCTGGTTAGGATCCCACACTGCTCATTCTGCTCATGCCCTTCCTTCTTGATGGTCCTAGGGTCCTGTGTACCTGGAATGAAAGATTAACTACTGCCCCCTTTTTGTTTCACATCTTCTACTTTTTCAGTTGTGATGATCGCATTAGTCATGATACCAATTACTTGCTATTGAACCAAAGAATCATATCTCCATCCTCCCACATCCCCTTTCACCAGACCCATCTGGACAAGAGGAAATCTATTCAGTGGGTATTCTACCTTACCCCCTTCATTCTGAAACTAAGCATATTCTTAAAACCTGTAAGCCAGCCACTTCGTGTCTTTATAGCCCCCATCTTTGGTAGCCAGTGTTTAAGTTACCCTTACCTATCAAACCTGTGTACGAAGGGGACAGACTTGATCCTTGATGGGAAGAATTCTTCCCTGTCAATTGGAATTTTGAGCACCTAAATCCATAAGCAAAGGTCAAGTTCATCAAATTGTAGCAATTTATGCTTGCTTTTTGTATCAAACTTATTTATCTTCCTCTAGTTGAGTTCTGATCAGCCAGCCATCCATGCTAGGTTAAATGGGTTAAATCTGCAAGCTTGGGAGTTCTTGCATGCCTCCTGCATTTCAGACCAGCTGGCCGCTTCACTCTCAGCTCTAACCCCCAGTGGCTAGGTCAGTGACCATGGGATTGGGAGTTCCCAAGTCTCTCTAAGCTCCAGACCAGCCAGCCCTTCCTCCTGTCTCTCATCTCAAGGTCGATGGGTATCTATGGAACGTAGTCGAATTCAACCCATGTCTTCATTGCTGCATTTCCCTCACTTCCACTCAAAGTAGACCAAGATGTCACCAATGAGCTTACAGGCCTGTTTGTGTGTTCCCTTTCTGTCTTGGAAGGGGGTTTACCCTGGTGGGCTGATTTTTCTTGCTTCGCTGGCTCCCAAACAAAACAGCTTGCTTGTTCTTTCAACAGCCAAAAAGTCTGCTTTTCTTTTCCTTTTTTTTCTTCTGGTCTTTTGTTGTTGTTGTTGTTGTTCCAGCACTATTTATTGAAAACATTTTCCTTTTTCCAATGAATTATATTGACACTTTTATGGAAAAATCAAGTAACTGTACATCAATGGCTTTATTTCCAACATCCCATTCTATTCATTGGTCTATTTGTTCATGCTTACACCAATATGACAATGTCTTACTTACTGTAGCTTTATACGAGGCTGAGTCAAAAATTATCTGCACTCTGGCGGTAGAATTTATTTTAATCAACTTCTAAAGAAGACAACTGCATCATTTTTTGGCATAATCTCCTTGCTTTTCAATACACTATGTCCATTGGTCAGCAAGCTTTCACATTCCCTTATTAAAAAAATGTTTTAGGCTGAGCTTCAAGTCACCAATGCGCCGCTGCCTTCACTTCTTCATCAGAGGTGAATCTTTGCCCTCAAAGGGCTGCTTTCAAGGGACCAAACAGGTGAAAGTATTAGTTTGGGTAGGTTTCCACACTAGCTGCTACTTCCTTATCCTAGCCAGCAAGATGAGGGAGTTTCTTTTTTTTTTCTTTTTTTTTTAATGTTTTATTGTGAACTATGTGATAGTTTACATGGGAGAACATTAGCTTTACATTCATCCTATTGTATATTGTTTCATTGCGATGGTTACAATCCCCTCCTTGCATCATTACAATCCCCTCCCTGCAAGCCTGGGCCCTGGTTGTCAGCACACGGCCCCTCTCCCTCTCTGGGTCTAGAGTTCCCAACCGATCCATCTCTCCACGTCGTCATCTCTGCCTCCATCTCTAGCATCACTGTTTCTCTGGTAGGGTGCCTGCACTCTGCTCTTCTCTCTTGATGGTCCCAGGGCCCTCCGCTCCTGAACTGCAAAGTCAGTCGCTCCCCTCCTTTTGCTATGAAACGTCTACCTTTACATTTCCAACCCTCACAGTTAGTCCTGATAACAATTATTCACTATTGTACCACAAGAGACCTATCCCCGTCTCCTTTCATTGGCCCTGCCCAGACAAATTGGATACTACTCAGTGGAGATTCTACCGTCCTCTGCACCCTCTGGATCTAGGCTCCCTCTTGAAAGCTTGTAAGCCAGTCACTTCTTGCTTTTGTAGCCCCTCACCCTCACCCATTTGGGTAGCCAATGTCCAAATTGCCCATCCCTGTCTACTCTGTGTATGGAGGGGGTGGGAATGATCCTCGCTGTAAAGATTTGTTCCCACTTTTGAGCTACCACATCTATAGGTATAGGTCAAGTTCATCAAATTGTATCAGATTATTCTTTTTTTCCTCTTCTTTGTTCTTCTAGCTGAGCTTTGATCATCCCATCATTGAAGCCAGGTCAAGTGGGTATTATCTGCAAGTGTGGGTGTTCTTATGCATATGACCACTCTTCTTATCAGCTGGATGCTTCACTGTAGTCCTCTGTGACTATGTCACATACTCTGGGCCTAAGAGTCCCCAGGTCTTGCAACACTGCTGGGCAACCAGGTCTTCAACTGGGGTCACGGGAGTCTATTGAACGTTGTAGGGCTTAGCTTGCAGCTTCATTGCTGTTTTTGCCTCACTTCCCCTTATAGGTGATGAATGTTGGTCACCAATCAGAGCGCATGTCTGCTCATGTATTCCCTGGTCTTTCTTTTAAGAAGTACCGTCTGTTCCTCTAGGTGCTCCAGGCTGGTCTGCATGTCCTTTCAAGTGGGAATGCCCCACCTCTGAAGATTCTGAGTGGGAATCATGATTCCACCTAAGGCCCCATATTCTGCAGAGGCTTAACAAATTCTAGTACCCCTTTTAGCTAATCTAATCAAGTCACAGCCTGAAGACAGGCTCACCTTTTATTTTCATTTATTGTGTTTGCATACACACTGTTGTATTTTGCTTGTTTAGTGAGTAGGGTATCTTTTAGCATCAGTACATAGAAATCTATCTGTTATATAGTATTTTATAGCATAGATGAAAGAGCATATATATAACCATTCCTTACTGATTAACGTTTAGGTTGTTTTATTTTTTTTTCTGTTATTGACATGTTAAAGTGAAAAGTCTTATAAATAAATAACCCTTTGTGTGTCAATATTTATCTCAGGTAGACATACTTACTGGGTTGAAGAGTATGTACAACATAAAAGTCTCCTCTAAAAGGTTCAGTATATAAGCAGTGTATGGGATTACTTGTTTTCAAATAGCCTTAAAAGCAGTAGATAATTATAAGCCTGTTTAGTTTGTGTCAATCCAATGAACAAAAAAATGTGCCTCGTTTTTGTTTATCTGTTTATTGGTTATTCTTATTTCTTTCCTGTGACGTACCTTTTCAATATTTTGTCCATTTTTCTATTGGGATGTTTAGTTTTGTAATTGATTTGTTGGAGTTCCATATAAGTCAAAAAGTATTGCTGCAAAATCATAGAAACCTTTATAAATCCAAAATGTTGTTTTTCAACATATGTCCCATCTAGGTCTATATACTTCTGAAGGTGGTGTTTTCATCTCTCTAACCCTTCCCTGAAGAATTCTCTTCTGTTGTTATTCTTAGGTGCCGTTGAGTCAGTAGCTGTCTTCCAGATTTCTTGGCATAGACATGTGAGTGCCTCCAATACTTCATCAGTTTGTTGAGACATTTCAGTTTATATCCCATCAACTCCTGGAACCTTGCTTTTCACCAATACCTTCAGTGCAGTTTTGGCTTCTTCCTTCAGTACCATCAGTTCTTGATCATATACTACCTCTTGAAATGGCTTAACATTGACCAATTGTTTTTGGTACAATGACTGTATTCTTTCTATCTTCTTTTGATGCTTCGTGAGTCA